CTCAATCATCATATTTATTCTAATTGTATCGTAATCGTCCCCAAGGAGCCTGGTTCAAATGAGCTTGACATTATTAAAATTTTAATGCCCAGTTTTCATAGCTGAATGAATATTTAAAGGGTATGTCCCAGCTTAAGTTATAATGATGAAGAAATTAATGGAATGTCTTGTTTAATGCATGGCTCTATGTTGATGCAAAAAGTGGCAGGGGGAGGGGGCAGGGATAGAGGGGAGGGGGGAAGGAAGGAGCCACCTGCCTGCTCTCCCATCCCCCCATCTCTCTCAATAGGGAGCAGAGAGAGGACCTTAAATCCTGGACCAGAGTGTTCCTTCTGAGGGGGATGCGGATTGTATTTTCCAGCCAGCATTATAATTAGTGTCCCTAGAGGACTCACCCTAGGAGCTCCAGGCAGCATCTTAGAGCTATTCCTGACCCAGGAAAAGCAGCACTGGCCAGGCAGCTTTACCTCAGGTACCTGGAGGAAAAACGAAGACTTGGGGTCCAGGGCCCCTGTAGACACTCAGCGTCAACACAGGTGATCCTGCACCCCAGCCTAGGGTCCCAGACCTTCCAGGGTGCTACTACGCTGGCTGTGAGGAAAATCTTGACAGAGGAACGTGAATCAGGAAAGGAATCCTAAGGGACAACGTTCCAAAGAGTCTTCCTCTCATTTTTCCTCCTGACTCTTCCACTACTTTCCCCTCCTTTCCAGATCCTTCTGGGCTCCCTCTCAGACCTCTCTTTGTCACCTCTGTCTTGTCCTTTCTCCCTAACTTTAAGCCTAGCCTGGTGTTCTCTTCCCAGGTCAGATGGCTCAGTCTGTACCTCTCTTCTGGAGACAGAACACTCTTGGCGAAGCTGGACCAGGGCAGACAAGGGAGAGAGGTCTCTCTTCAGGTCGCAGCCGCCTGAACAGAATCTGTTCTAACTGAGAAACCTTCCCACCCGAGCCTTACAATTTATTTCTGCTGAGAATTAAGAAAGCATGCGGCTGTATTTTATCTCCCTATCTAGCCCGGCAGCTCTGACAAGCTCTGCAAAGGCCACTGGATGCTGGCCATCCTCAGATCCTAATGGGACATGAAAAGCCACCCCAGGAGTGCGGCTATATGAGAACCAAGTCAGTTTTGCTTAGCTACTCTGTTTGGAGCAGTTATGAGTGACCAGCCCTTAGCTGAGGACAAGTGGGAGACTGAATGAGACTCCAGATCCCCACTCTCAGGAAGGGGAAACTGGAGAGAAGCCGAGGGGTCTGTGAGGAAAGAGCAAGCTAGCGAGTGCTGTAGAGCAGGTCTGGTCGTGACATTCAGAGCTGGTATGGCAGGGAGGCCTTCCAGAAACATACCAGGCCTCAGTCGGGTAGGAAGGAGTGTGCAATTGAGCTTCCCAAGTATGCAGGTTTTGAAAACCGAGGGAGAGTGGCATGGCCCCCTAAGGGAATGGCCCATCCAACGTGAAAGCTCCATGCACAGGGAGATCTCATTGCCTCATTTTATTTACCATGGCAAAGAGAACCTCTGGAATCAGAAGTAGCTCTGTCCTAGCTCTTCCCCATCCAGTGCGACTCATACAACTGTCCCAGGCCCAGCCTTCCTCCTTACATCACCCCTGGAAATGAGAGCTCTGCCTGGGCGTACTTTGGCCCTGAGTGGAACCTCTTGCACAGCGTTGCTCCCCACCTCAGTTCGACACATGAGGCTCTAGAGTGGCAGAGCGGGGTGTGGGTCACTCCCCCTTATCTTCCCTTTCCCAGCCAGCCCCTCCTCCACATGCTTGCTGGGAAGAAAACCTATCAGGCATTCTGCTCCTCACCCCTGTCCAGCTATGAACCTTCCCAGACTATCTTTGGCTCCCAGCATCTTCTGAACATAGACCTGGGTGTCAGGAAACTTGGGTCCATCCAATATCATCATTTGCCCCCTGTGTGACTTTGGATTGTTTTCTTAGCCTCTGAAAATCCATCTCTGTGACGAGTTCTTCTATTTTCATCTATCTCATTCTCAGATTTCATAACCTAGAAATATTACACACACACACACACACACACACACACATTCACGTTCCATGTTCTTGAGATTGTATATCCTTTGGAGGGTCCTGGGAAGCCTTAGCCCTCTCTATTCTACAAGCCATTCCCTAGCCTTGAACATGCCTTCAATCTGGAGAAAATGGGATTCTCTGTAAGATCCTTCCTGTTGAAGTGCCAGCCAGGCTTCAGGGGTCAGAAATTTTCATGAGAGGTCTGAGAGATCATCGTTGATGACTGAGAGGTCGCAGCCAAAATGTCTGTCTTATTGTTCTGGAGACCAGAAGTCTAAGATCAAGGTGTGGGTAAGTTGGGTTTCGGGAAGAGCTTTCTTCTTTCTCGTTTGAAGAAGGCCACATTCTTGCTATGTCCTCACGTGGCCTTTCTGTGTGCATTTGTCCCTAGTGTCTCATTTTCATAAGAACATCAGTTATGTAGGATGAGAGCCTTCCCATATATCTTCATTTACCTTTAATTACCATGTGTTAATGGTCTTATTCCCAACTATAATCATATTGTGGGGTCATAGATTCACCAGATGAATTTAGAGGGCTACAGTTCAGTCTATCCGAGGACTCTCAAAGAACATCAAGAGAAGGAGTCTGCGGAAGGGTGGAGGAGCTTTAGACACTGCAGGGAATGGACTTAGGGGGAGGCAACGATGTGTAAAGATGTGTGTGGGGACCTGTGTAAGATGATGGGGCCAGCTGGGCGTCGGTGGCTCATGCCTATAATCCTAGCTACTCAGGAGGCTGAGATCTGAGGATCACAGTTCAAAGCCAGCTTGGGCAGGAAACTCCATGAGACTTTTATCTCCAATAAACCACTAGAAAACCGGAAGTGGTGCTGTGGCTCAAGTGGTAGAGCGCTAGTTTTGTGCTGAAGAGTGCAGGGACAGCACCCAGGCCCAGAGTTCAAGCCCCACGACCAAAGAGGTTGCCTTTCAATTCAATGACCCAAGGATCCTGGTCCCAAATGGCCATTACTACTACATCGGCTCTTTCTCCACCTCCTCCCTCCTTAGGCCCCTCCTGTTGGAGCAGCTGGGTCAATGACAAACAAAAAAAGGAAAAGAAAGCCACAGGAAGGACAAGTGTCATGACAATAACTTACACTGCACATGCCCCTCCTGGCTGAATTCTAGCCAGATACTCTTACTGGTAAGGTGGAGATAGTAATCCCTACCTCAGTGAAGTTACATAAGCACAAATGGTATTAGGAGCAAGAGAACACAGTGGCCAAACTTGGGTCTAGGCTAGCTTTGAGCACCTTCTGGGATAGAAGAATACTGCAGGCTTGTGGAAAGGCAAAGGAGATAGGATCTCCTGTGTCTATGTTCACACCGATCTGAATCAGTCCTATCCCCTCAGATCTCAGAAACTAAGCAGGGTTGGACCTGCTTAGTTAACATTCTGCTTGGTTAATATTCTGATAGGGTGAAGGGATGTCCTAGGAGGGAAGGGCAGTCTAGAAAAAAAAGGTGGGATGCTGAATTCCCAAAAGCAAACCAGGAATGACCCAGCTCCCTCGTCAGGCCTGTCTCCTATAGCCAGATGCCTGAGCCACCTTCTAAACTCTTCCAAAAAGGTCTGGAAATGAGGTAGTTTGTGGGAAGCTAGAAACGTCATTCTGTCTCTGGGGTTGAAGCTTCTATAACGTGACAGTGCTCCCTGCTGCGGGAGCTTACGTACAAAGCACCTGTCTCTCTCTGATGGTAAATACTCCCATGGCCTGTCTTGCTGGCCCTGGCTCCTTGCGAATCCTTCCCCCGTCTGCTCCGAATCCTGCCTGCTGTCTCTGTCCTTCCTCGGTGTGGCTCTGCCCTTCCCCTGGCCTCAGCTTCACCTTGCTGAGTCACACACGTCCTTCCCCCACCCCCTCCACGCAGCCAAAACTCACTTCGAATCCTAGACCAGAAGGCAGGAGGCAGCTTGTGACTGGGCTGCTCCAGCCCTTATAAGGCAAGTGAGTTGACATCCAAGCCTCAAGGTACAATGTAAGCACAGAAATAGCTTTGGCAGACCCTGCCCTCGGGTGGCCTGGGAAAGCACATGACCCGCCCTCTGCCTCAGTTTCTCATCTTTAAAACGCAGGTGTCTGCACTGCTGTGGCCTGCCTCTCGGGGTCTGTGTTTGTGAGAGAGAAATGCAAACATAATAAGGGATCTGGGAGAGGCAGGACAGGAAAAGCGCTGGCAGAGATATGAAGTACGATGCATTGCGTGGCTTCTATCATTTTTATTGTCTGAAATACGGTGGGAACTCAGCGCTTGAGAGCCCACCCCTGGTGCTTGCCGCCGGCTGGGATTGAAAGGAAGCTGTGGAAGGGCGATGCTTGGAGTTGAGAGACCCCTAGTGGCCTGAACAGGACATTGACACAGATTCCCAGGAGATGCCAGCAGCTGGAGAGCCAGCCTGTGCCCGTGTTCTCTTGGTACCCAGACACTGAGGGAGACAAGAGGTTGTGCCCACTGCACACGTATCCTAAGCGGGGGATCTATGGCTGCAATCAGAAGCCCTTGTCCTGAGCCACACTCCCACTCACTAGCTGAGAGGCCTAAAGCCTTACTCTCCCCACAGGCCAGGAGTTCGAGATGGCAAGGCAGACAGCTCACTGCCATGGCCTGAGCTGGGCAGGATTTCACCTGCGGACCACTTCATTTTGACCAAGCCAGCTGTCTTGAATGACCCAGAACTGGGTCACAGATATGCTTGGGGTACAGGATGGTTTTGTGGACATGGGGAACAGGGACAGGCATTCTATCAACCTCAGATTTGGGTATCCAGGTTCGCAAGCACTGCTCAAAGCAGCAGGAGGGACCTCACAGGGTCTCCAACACATCACAGGGAGGTAGGTGGCGCTTCAGAAGGATTTGCCTCTTTGCTTCTGTGTGTGCAATGTACACTTACAAGTGGGGTGTCTGCCCCTCAACACTAGACCCATTGTGACACTGTCTCCTGTTCTCTGTTACAGATGAACCGGCCGATCCAGGTGAAGCCCGCGGACAGCGAGAGCCGAGGAGGTAGTAGCTGTCTGCGCCAGCCCCCTTCACGTGAGGGCCCACTTGTCTCTGCCCTTCCTCATCCCCCTCCTCCCTTCCCACCTTGTCCTGGTGCTGCAATTGCCTGCCGCCACCGCCTCCTGCCTCTCTGGGGACCTCATGGCTTAGGATCAGGGGCAAGGCTTTGGAGCTCTGGATAACTGAGTGTGGAAAGACAATAGGGTAGAGACTGGGATCTGCTGGCAGATTGGTTTCTAACTAAGTAAACAAGCAGTGTTGTGGGAGGTTTGAAAGCGTGTGTCTGTGTTGGTGTGGTGGGATTTAAATAGCCTAGCGATGCCTGTCAAGGAAGGAGTCAATTGAGAGAGACAAAGGTTGCAGAGGGCTGTAAGAGGATATATCTGAGAAGGGACCTATCTGAAGAGGGTCTGGGGTGGATGTATAGATACAGGCCAGTGTGTGTAGAAGGGCCAGTGTGGAGGGAAAGATTGGAGAAGCAGATGCAAGTAGGTGTGGAAAGGAACACAAGAAAAAGGACATTGTCTCACTCACAAACACCTGCCCTAGAACTTGGAACCCACGGGACCCTGGCATGAGGTAGTGGAGCCCCATTCCTTTCCCCTGAACCTTTGCCATGAGAGGGAAGAGTAGGTGGCCAGCAGGGGCAACTCTGTGCCCAGGTAGCAGAGCCACTGAAGTTGTATTGTTTTTGTGGTTATTCTACTTAGTCTGGCTTCAGCAGCCCTAGACGTGACTGGGGACTGAGTTCAGTGGGTTTAGATCCTATCTAAATCAAGGGGGAAAAAAAGATGATGAATACAGCCAACTAATTCTCATGGTGCCAACCTATCACTTCACTTGAAGAAGGGAGAAAGACACACTTTGCCCCAAAGGACTTTGCAGGCCTTCAGGTCTTGGCACCCCTCACCTCCTTGAAGAGGAGAATATTGTGCTTCTCATCCTGATGACCACAGCTCTGAACTGTGTTCCCGACCATTTCTCCAGGGCAGAGGACAAAACTCAGTCCCTGATTAGAACAGGGACTCCTAATGGAATACTCTATCCTGTCCACCAGTGAGGAGCCCCACCCCAAGTACACATTGGGGCTCAACTAGGTGGTGAGCTGAACAGACGTGTGTGAGGAAGACACCCCAGAAGACAGAGGGACAGAGCTACCTTCTCCCAGTCTTCTCTAACTTGGCCACCCTTCCACCAGAAAGAACTCCTTGCTTGGTCTCCCCTCACAGCAGGAAGGAAAAATCCAGAAGAATATTCCTTATGGCCACTAGGAGGAGTGTAGGAATGGGGCACTTTCTTCCTAGAAAAGAAATTTACTCCTCTGCCCGGCCAGCATAAAGGAGCTTCTAGCTTCTGCCTCATCACCATCTGATCCAAGAGTCTGTGTCCACTACTCTCCTAGAACCAGGGTCTTCTGTCCTTCGACTCTCCCAAAGCATTAGCTCAGCCAGGCACTAAGGAATTTCTCTTTCCTTCATCCTTTTCATACACATCTTCCTCCCCACCCTGACCTCCGCTCCAAAAATCCCCTCCCCCAAAGTCTATAAGGGAATAATAGGCCAAGGCTAAAGCTAATGCGTTAGGGTCAATGTCCTAGAAGGAATTATAGTGTGATCCAAAGTGGCCTGACAATCCCTGGAATGTCGAGTCCTTTCCAGAAGACTTCCTCATCATACTCAGTTCAGGCAGAACCTTGATCTGGGCACAAGATCTCTGCGCCAAGTTTCCTTCCTCACATGGGCCATTGGCCCTAGACATCAGGGTTTGATTGGTGTCTTAAGAGGTGTTGCTTGAAAGGGTGCTATGCCTGAGGGTACAGATGTACTTCCCCAGGGATCATGGAGCACTTGGAGTCTTAAAGACACTGATTATTGAGGTCCAGTTAGTTGCAGGGCAAAGATGACTCAGGTGTCCTAGTGAGCAAAATCTACCTGGACTATACTACCTCCTCCCACCCCTTTTTCTCACAGTGACTAGAAGCTCATTCTCCTCTGGCTTCACCTAGGTCTGTGAGAATCATGACAGAGTGAAGGACGAATCCTGATGACTAGCCCAGCTGGGCCAGGGTCTGGGCACCCAGGCATGCAATGATTCTCCTGTAGCTCCCTGTTCAGATAACACAGATGATGAGCCATAGGAGCCAAGAGTAATCCCAGAAAGGGGACCCCAGAGACAGGAACACCAGGGACCTTGGAGGAGGTAGCCCTTGAGGAGGTGACACTTCTGGCTTGAAGGAGGGGAGATTCCGCACCTGGGAAAGAAGCAGAATGGCATGAACAAGGCCCAGCAAGAAAGGCCTCACAGGAGAGCCAGCAGGCCAAGGTTCAGAGGTTCCCTAGAACCCATATTACTTGTGGGAAGTCCCCTCTGCCCCCAGCCTGGCTGAGCTCTGCTCCCACCCTCTTCTCCCAGTCCTCGCTTGCCTGGGAGGAAATCGCTCTCTGACTCCAAGTTGCTAACCTCATCTCCTTTCTCCCATATATCTCTTGTGCTGACACTTGCCCCAAGCCAGATTAATCAGCTCTTTTATTCTTCTTGTGGTCGAAAAGGGGAAGAGAAAGCCAGGCCTAAACATCTATCTATTAATTGCATATTCAATATTAAATAGTGAGATGGTCCTGAGTCAGCACTATCACTAAGCTCTTTTTTTTTTTAAGAAAGTTGGTTCAAAATAATTTAGTATCTATTAAATACATCTTCTGGGGGAAAGGGAATAGAAGGTGGGGAAAGCATTAAAAACAAAGAAATGGGGAGCAATAGGGTGTGAAAGGAAGGGAAGCTGTGGGATGGGGAGAAGAGGCTAGAGGAGAGGAAGGGAAGAAGGAGATAGAGATAGAAAAGAAGCAATAGGAGGAAGGAGACAAACATTGGAGACTGTAGGGTAGGGAAAGACCTGGCATGGATGGGAGGAAGTTGGGGTGTCAAGGAGCAGAAGATGGGTGAGTTGCTTCTTCATCCCACCTCTGAGAACTTTGCTTCCAAAGACCTGAGGACCTAGGATGTTCATTCAACTGCTCCAGGTGTGTCTGAATGCCAGCGGGCAGAACAAGAGGTTTTATTTTCTGCACAGGAAGCATGTACAGGCCCAGGACTTGAGGAGTGGGGGGAAGCTCCCTACCCCATCCACACAGGTGAGGCCCTGATGATGGTGCAGGCTTCTCATTCCACCTCTTGAGTTTCTGCATGCATCACCTGGCCCCATCAGCCCCCATGAAAGAGTGAGGGATTGTGGAGACAGGCAGATAAACTGGCAGCAAGAGTTTTGTGGGTACAGGGGCAGCACTGGAGAAGGAAAGGTTATGGAGAAATTGCTGAGACTAACAGACTGCCCCCTTGCAGGAATAGTCAAAGAGTTCAGACCATTTTCTCCCCAAATATAAGAGTAGCTGTAAGCACATGAGAAGCAAAGTGGATGTAGCAGATTCTCAGAGTAATAGGCCCAACTCTGAGCAGTTCACTGTACCCAGAGGCCCAAGCATATGGGCATACGGACACAAGTAAAGTGGGAAACAATTCTTTCAGGGTATGTCACCTTGGATCTCATCATCCCCATAGGTCCCAGAACTGGAACACACACACACACACACACACACACACACACACACACACACGTGCATGGCCATCTCCTGGCAGAATCAGTCCTGTTATATAGAGACCAGCTCACCTTTGGCTATGGCTCATAAGGAGGAAAGGACTAACTGCCCAGGTATGGCTGGCTCCCAAGACAATGGGGTGTGTTTTGCTGAACCTTAAAGAGCCTTGAGGGATATCTGATGAGCCCACAGAGAGGGGTCACATGGCTGAGCCACAAGGCCTGGGATAGACCGAGGAGGGGATTAGTGTAGGCACCCCTGATCTCTAGTCACGAAGAGGGAGCCCTGGAAAGGTAGTTGTAGCTAGATACAATTAGCAGACCCCCATGGAAACTTCTAGAAGGTAAAGTAGCCTCTGATATCCCTCCCCAAGTCCTGCAGAATTGCCTGAGGCTGAAGCAACCCCACTGCAGTTTCCATTGGATGTTTGGGCATCAGTTTCTAGACTTGGGAACCCCGGTCTCTCCTCTCTACCAGTGCCTCTTTCTCTCCCAACAATCTGTTGCCCTTTCTCTCAGGCTGTGTCTGCCAGGACCTGGGCAATACCAAAAACAAACAAACAAACAAACAAAAAAAACCCACAAACCTGTGGGAAGGTTGGGGCAGTTGCAACAGCTCATGGAGTTGTTTCCAATTGGACCCCACCCTAGGCGCTGGCCAAGTCACCTGCATCTTTGGCTGCCCCCCCCCCTCCCCTAGTCCATTTAATGGCATCTTCAGGGTGTCCTTCCCTCACTTCACAGGCACTGTTGTGACAGTAAATTCCCGCTGGGCAGGCTAATGAGGTTGGACACAATGCATGTGACGTAGCTCCAGCTCCTCCCTGAGGCCATGTTCCCCACCATAAACCCAGGCCCACTTCCCTCCTCCCCATTCCTCTACCATCTGTAGCTCCATCGGGTCCTGTGGCTTTTTAAATCCTATTAAGTTCCACATTTCTCCTCCAAGCATCATTTTATTTCTAAACAGACCACACACTGTCCGTGAAGTCTCCAAGGGGCTGCTGGGGACTGGCTGAGGGGTGTGGGCCCAGGCGGGTTAGCTACACACTCTCATAGTAGACCTGTCCTGGGGAAGTGGTTGTAGTTGGGGGACGGAGAAGGGACCTGGGGCCACAACTGTTCAGCTCCAATGCTGTGATTTTCAGTTGTAAACTCTTCCGGCTACTCAGTCTCATACAGTAGACAGGCAGGGAAGCCAGCGTTAAGGCTGGCCTTGCTTTAAGAAAAAAAATAACACTGAGAAGCACCTATTTTCCAGTCTTCACATGCAACGAATGACTCACTGGACAAAGGCTTCTGGCAGAACAGAAACCCCTCAGGGTGCTGCTGAGGAAGCCCTCAGGCCAGGCAGGAGGGTTACATAGAAATGGAAAGCTGGAGGGCCAAGAGTAGGCTAATCTGAAATTATCCCAAGTCAGTAGGATCAAAGGGCCTCTGC